AATGCGAATCCCGGAGCAAAAAGCAGAATGTTCATCTTGATAGACAATGCCAAACTGCGCGTCATTAGACATTAGCCCACAGCGAGCACAACGACAAAAGAAGTCAGCCCTATCTCCCGTTACCTGTACAAAACAGTGGCAAGAGACCATTTCCGCTCGAGCATGGCCAGCATACACAGGTACAGCGGAAGCATGGCAATCGGGTCATTGAAGAGTCGAAGCACGTAGATCGAGTGCAGACGTTTTGAAAGGGACAGGAACACCAGAACATAGGGTCGCTGAACCTTCACATATGCGATAGAATGGATCAGCATTTCGGTTGGTTCAACGTACAGATCGGCTGCGTCTGTCTGTTTCACCAACCATAGCCGAGCGCCGATACAATGCCATAACAATCGCCAGGGTCGTGACATACACGCCAGCAAAGATATACTGCGCCAACAGCACATTCTTCCCGCCTGATGTGAGGTACGACAACCCGGAATAGATGTAGACAAAGCCAGCGGGGTATCTGTACATTGCGGTGGTTTAGACTTCAACAATTCCAGAGGTGTTCGTGGGAGCGTTGCCTTACACTAATGGACCGGTGTCTCCCTCCAGTTTCGCATAGTTCCGTTCACCGGAAAGGAACCCGCCGACTTCTTGCATATACGCATCCCAGTCGATATTCGTGTCTGGGTTTGACTGCAATGTAAGCAATCAAGTAACACCCTTAGAAACATGAGCACTGAGCTTCTATGGCAGCAAGACCAAAAGTCCACCCCACTATAGAGGCCACAGTCTTCTCCACCGATACATACAGGATACTTTCCGAATAATCACTACACATAGCAGCGTCTCGAGAATGAGCAGCAGACCCCCGACTACCCAGAAATACGCGGGATCGCATGCAAGCGCCCTGAACGTCCGGAATGCTAAGCTGATGGTGCCGCCATCGCTCACACTCCCAGCTTTGACTGCTGGACTGTTTTCCGTGCTTGCCGAGTCCGCAACTCCTGGCGGCTTCCGTCTTGTGACGCCCATTTCTCGTCCGCGGAATCGACCGGCCGCGCAGGCCGCACCGCGCAGCATACTGTTACAGGAGACGCGGTGCGTAAGCCAGTCCAAACGTCTGGGAAAACTGTCAATGACCGCCGATCATCTATCAATCATTAGATTAGCGCTCCTTTGGATTCCACACCGTAAGCGTTTGAAGAATCAAATATGAGGATCACCCCAGACCACCTCGAAAATGGATCCACGCAGAAACGCACACGGGCTGAACCACGAGAAGCGTTTTTGAGAAGAATCACGCATGTGTCGCTCGTAGGGAAAGACATCAGCGTCATGGTAAAAAAAAATCATTTGAACGGCAATCTTTTTAGATCTGTGTCATATTCACTGACCTCGCAATGCAACATACCATAGGAGAATCTCCATTTTTGCAAGAATCTGACTGGTAACGTAAGTTGAGAGTCCCCCCCATGACTCACGACTTACTAACATCAGACGTGTCCTCAGTGCTATACCTCTACGACAACAACATCACGACAATATCGGGCCTCGAGTGCTGCCGAAACCTGTCTCGTCTATACCTTCAAAACAATGCCATTGAGGAGATATCTGGGCTTGATGTCGGGCTTGACCAACTCAGCGTGTTGTGAGTTGCTCTCTAAGGTGACAACTAACATCTGAAAGAGATGGGCTTACGTCTTTTCAACTAGACATCTGCACAACAACCGCATTAAATTCGTCAATGGATTGGAACGCCTGCCCGCGCTCGAACAACTCAAGCTGGATAGGCAGCAGCTGCCGGAGGGCACTGCCCTCGAGTTTGATCCTGACTGCTTGGCGACCATAGCTGTAAGCGCACACTCAACCTGGCTAGAGAACGGATTGAATCCCGCATCTCATACCGTGTTCCTTTGCTTTTTGCGTCCGGCCCGATCAGCCAGCTCTCCGACAGCTGACGGTGGCAGGAAACCACATCTCCGACATCACATGTATTGCAGTCCTACGGCAGCTAGAGCACCTTGACGTATCTGAAAACGAGATCGCAGACTTGAAGGTATACTGAACTCCTCAAATGTCGCTACAACCTTGATTCTCACTCCACCCCACTGCAACGGCTAGCCACTTGAAGAGTTTCTATCAACATGTCCCCATCTATCATCTCTGGACATATCCCTAACCCCTCTCGCGGCATCCATCACGCCCGCAAAACTCCGACAAAAGCTCATCCTGGCCAGCACGTCTTTAGGTGCGTAAAGCCCCAACGCTCAACGCTTGATGCTCCATGTTCCTTTTTGCGCTTCCCCGCCAACGCTGAATATGTCATTCCCCAGACTCGTTGAACGAGAAACCAATTCCGCCCGTTGAACGCAAGTTTGTGGAGAACCTGCGCAAAGTGCAGGAAAGACGAAAGTCTTTTTCGACCAATCCGCTGTCGAAACAGTCGTCACTGACGGCGCTGGATACCGCGCTGCAGGCTCCTAACGCATTGCAGGAGAAGCCAATTCCGCATTTGCCTCCGTATGCAAGTACGTATCAACCCCCTTTCTTTTCGCGGCTGCCACATTTGATCAGTGACATTAAGCCCTTCTCGATACTTTCAGGTCAATATCGGGATTTGATCCTCTCAATGCAGTCGAACGCGCCGCGTACCGCCGCAGAAAGTCGCTCTCGCAATGGGTCGCTTGCCAATGTCGCCACAGCGGCTGAGGGAGTGAAGCCCGAGGAACAATGAACCGGGGCCACTACTTGATACAGGGCTGACGACGAGATGAATTGAATCAATTGTTATATTTTGCAGATGAGGACACATAACAAAGCTTGTACAGAAATCACACGAGACTAAGCGAGGTCGAAGGCTATTCTGCCAATCATTTAATCCTTGTGCGAGTGACCGATGAACATGTTGATCATCTCAGACGAGTGCTTAGGCTGGTCATACGGAACCTGTGGGGCAAAACGGGCATTAGCATACACGGTAATAACGTCCGACAAAGCTGTGTAAGAAACTACGCACCATGTGTCCGGCCTCGTACACTCGCAGGAAGGCAAAGTTCTTGAAGTGACGGAATTCACCAGCGGGTTTACCAGTACCCTTGGAAATCCATTTCTCATCCTTAGCGTTCTGGAACCCTTCGCTGTGCTCCCACTCCAGCTCAAGGGTCCACGCCTTGTTGCCGATCCAATTGCAGATAAAATCGGCATCACCGGCGTAGATCAAGACGTTGATACCCTTGGCGAGTATCGGTGGCAAGACACGAACGAAAGGCTTCATCCAGTCACCAGCCATCATGAACTTCATGTTAATGTCCTGCTTGCATCCCTCGTACTGACGATCGACGTTCAAGGCTGCTTGAACCTCAGGCTGGTTAAGGTAAGCCTCGATATCACCGAGGATAGAATAGCACAGGGGGTTGGATGGGTCGCACTTGGAACGAATGTCGTAGATGTTCAGACCAGTCTTCTGGAAGGGCTGGATCATAGCGTTGTTGCAATAAATGGCGCCGGGGACACAGGTAAATGCAGTGTTCCACTTATAGCAAGACTGGATAAGGCTCTTGCAGGTCGGGTATTTGCTGCGCATGGTTTCAATGTCGCTTTCGTCCAGAATGGGACCGTACGTCTTATCGGCAGCCATGTCAGCGTAGTACTCGTACTGAACCAGGGGATCGGTCAAACCGTTTCCGATAGCCAGACCCTTGAGTTTGATCTCGAATTTGTTGGACTTTTTGGTGGAAGAGAGAGCTTCATTCTCAGAAAGGATCTTGGCACCAATAGCAGGAACGTAGTGACCAGCATATGACTCTCCAGTGACATGGAAATCAAGCTCCTTGTACTTGTTGTACTTGCTTAGGAACAGTTGGAGGAAAGCGTAGACCTAACGTTATGAAACATCATTAGCTTTCATCCAAGTATCTGGGATAAAATGGGGATGCTTTGATACTCACATCGTCGGCAGCATCGACGGTGTTCGTAACGGCGTCCCCATCAGTGTAACTGAATCCGACATTGATGGGCTGGTCCAGGAAGACCAAATTGGCTTCGTTGTTCCACGAGTCAGGGTTGATGGTTGTGCCGTTACCGCCGGGGTTCACTTTGCACGGACCAAGCTCCATTAGAAGACCAGTCAACGAGGAGCATCCGGGACCACCGTTCAACCAGAGAACCAACGGGTCTTTGGCGGGGTTACGACGGGATTCAAAGAACCAGAAGAAAAACTACACCAGACGCGCGGGTAAGTCGATCGATCCCTTCAGAAGGACCTTCAATGTGCTTTGACTTACGTGCTTGTCATCTGATTTGCCTTCAACATCAACATAACCGACATACTAATAATAGAAAATTGTTCGAACCAAATGTCAGTTTTCCACCGTCAACAAAAACGCAAGATACGCGCGGTCGGGGCCTAACCTGCTTGACGTCGGGGTCACACAGCCTGACTTCCTCCTTCACACGGAGAGTGTAGTTGGGGAATTCCTCAAGGGTATGGATGTTCCAAGCGTTGACGCTGTCCTTGTTGACGGACAGCTGCTGGGATGAAGAGGACGGGAACTGCTGATGCATCAGATGCCTCCATTTGGAGGGCACAGATACGGCCGAAGCCAGAGTGGCCGTGGCCAGCGTCAGAAGGGCGGCGAAACGCATAGCTTTGAACGAAGAACAAAAGGGGGAATCGAATGGATAGGAGGTAGTGGTGAAGAAATAGATGAGGGAATGGGCTGTCTGGAAGATGGGATGGGTCCTGGCAAGTGGGCCGTTATATCGAGCGAACCCCAGCTGATGACGTTGCAATTAATTTCGGATGTCCGTGATGGATTTGATGAGAGAGTGCGTCTTGGCCGCGTGATGAATCGTTTGTTTGCGGTTCCAGCCAGCCAGCCAAGCCAGTCCTTAGCGGATTTGCATAACGACCACCTCGCTTTCTATTGGGATTGATAAAGAAAGCGATTGTGTGTTGGAAAGTGTCAAATACTCGAATAGCACCGTCCGTGAAGAACAAATATTATCAAGGGGGGTTAGGAAAGTGGTCTAATCCGCCAGATTTAGGCTCTGGTCTCGAAAGAGGCGTGGGTTCGAACCCCACACCCCTCATTATCTTTTTGGACGTTTTTAGCGTACAGTCGGTGGGCGAAAGTCTGCGGCCCCCTGGATTTACTTTCTATGCAACTCAGGCGTGGTTTTTGCACTTTTTCCACTTGACTTTTGAGATTGCCATCGAGACGCGCTTTACATAAGCTGTATGACTCGAGGTGTCGACTTTTGAAAGCGCGTTTTGGGGTTGGAGGTACTTTGACTTTGCAGGTGATAAATGGCAACCAGATGGAACCAACTGGAACCAAAATCTCTAACATCCTGAGAAACGTGACTTTTCAGCTGATTGTCAGATGACTGTCACTGGATGGTCATGTGGATGTCAAAAATAATGTGGCAATCTCAAAGTACCTCGGGAGGTCTCGCGAGTTTCAAAACAAGATGGCGTCTCTTGCTCCATCCAACCACTGTCCATCCAATATCCATCCAACCCCGAAAACAACGTCAGCACGTTCAGCATGAACGTGAATCAACCCTATGGAGCTCTCACCACTGAAAGGGCAGACATACTCGCAAAGTTGGCCAGCAAACACCCTGACATCGTGCAGCAGCATCACCAGCAGCTCGTTCAACACATCCAGTCGCCTATGGCCACTATTACTGTGGATGACAACCTTCCTATATCTGTACAAGACGACCTCCCTACATGGCAAGCAGCTGTTTCCGGAGCCCCTGAGGTGATAGAGGTCACATCTGCACCGCAAGCAGTGGTAGACGTCAAGGCTGCAAAGGTCCCACGAAGCCGGAAGGTCAAAAGTGAGGAAAGTAAGCGCCGGTGCTGGAATGACGAGGAGATGATCGCCTTGGTCGACTTGAACAATAAGTACAAGATTTGGGTCGAAGGCAAAGTGCGAGCATCCGACTTCAACGGGATCTTCCTCTCGAAAGAGAAAGAGGCATATATGCAGCGGCATCTGTCAGAAACAGGCTTGACGGCAAAGTGGACTTATGACCAGGTAGGAAATGCCCACAATGTCAACGATGTCAACGATGTCGACGAGATCTCAAAGCCGTCGATCTTTAACGTATTGTGCTATAGTGCAAGGCAAAGTATAACAACATTATGACCGAATATCGGAAAGCCAAAGATGCGCTGAAGGCTACTGGAGGGCGCGGGTTGCAGTTTTATCGTGAGAGATACTGCTGGTGGGACAAAATGGAGGGAGCGAACACGGGAAACGCCTCCATTGAGCCCGACTACGTCTATGATAATGGCGTTGAGCGAGATAGTACTCCCGAAAGGTCTCGGAAATGATATGCCAGCTCCCAAGATGATGACGACACCACCCAAAAAACACCGCCGCGATCTTCCCTACGCCGGAAGAAGACGACATCACCTTTGGCGCAGATCACCCAGATGAGCAAGGAACTCAACCAAGAGAATAGAGAATTCATGGCACAGTTGGAATTGCAACGGGAGGAAAGGGAAGCCAAACGGCAGGTTGAGATGAGGCAAGCAATGGGTGAATTGATGGCACACATGGGTGCAACTATGTTGGCGGCTGTTGCAGATGTACTAAACAAAAATAAATAAATAAATATGTTATGTAAATGAATCGACGACATTGGAATACTGGTATAAGGAATCCCTGTCAATGGCACGGTGGCAATGCGTGCAATAGCTCGCGTGTATAAATTCATCACGGCTGTCAAAAACCTGTCAAATTCTTTAACAATTTAGGCCACCGACAACATCGACGACTTGCCGTAGCCTTTAACGTTTGCAATCATCAACGACATCGACAACTTGCCAAAATCTGCAACATTTCCAACCTATTGGACCCTCCCCAATGTCAAACGTCTCCCTACCTCTTCAATCTTCCTTTACGCGCGCGCTCCACAGAAAATGCCCCAGAGGGAAGCTCTCGACCATGCACTCTGCCATGTAGATCCTGCAGGCATACCGGGAGTGGCTTATGACACTGGGATGTATGATTGGTCAATTTCCGATTGTAACACCTGGGGAGCGGTTTTGGGCAAGATCCTTGTGGAATGGCTTTGTCGCCCTGATCGGATGCTCCTGCCCCCCCCCGGATGCTCTGAAGCTTCTATACTCAAGATCTCATACCATTGCCGCGCCCCCCGGTTCCCGAGCGCAAGGATGGCTTACGAAGGTTGTCTCGCCAAGGCCGGGTTTCAGCGTGGGTGGAGCCAACACCATCCCCCATATCCCACTACGACCCCAGATCGGCCAGTCGCTTCAAACCATCTTCGCTTCTCTAGATGTGGTCCCCTCCGCCAGGGCAGAGCGCATAGGGTTTTACAGAAAGCCACAGATGTGGGCGCACATATCAAACCCGCTCCTCTTGGAGGAATTGTTGAAACGGATCCCGCAGACGGTGTCACTCTGAAAACGGTCTGTTGGGTTCTTAATGGGTCAGGCCCCAGGAGCAAGACGTGGAATTTCCACGAATGGGATAACCAGAATAGGCAACAAGCGGTTGCAATCTTGGAATCAGCAAATTCACCATCAGAGCCCTCTACGATGCCCACAGCCGCCTGCAGCAACTAATGCTTGACTGCAATTCGCCAGTAGTCACTGATCCCTTAGGATATCACTGCCTTCGTGCTGTTGGCGCCATCTCTCGTCTGCTAGAGAGCCTTACCATTATCCAGCTCGACGGTGCCTCTGTGTTCATGGCAGACATGAACAACACTGATATATGCGTAGCCTTTGGGAATAACCGTGCCGTAGCACCTTCATGGTGGGGACCCTCTCGTCACCTTCCGCATCAATGGTTTATGGATCCCCTTTAAGTGCATTGGTTATGTCTCTGTATTAGTGTATTAGTATTAGTATAAGGTCTTTCAATATATTCCGTTTCACCACATATGTAATAATACTAGGTCCGTTGCCAGAGTCTAGTCTTCTATTTGGGAATTCCCTATCTCTAATTCTACTGTTAGATCACTAAGTCCTGAATGCGCCCTCGTCGGAGCATTCCTTCTTTTCTTCTAGGCCGCGGAGCGGCCCTGGTCACGTGATGGCCATCCGTGGCCATCCCTGAGGTCTAGTACCCTTCGGGATGCTGACGCTAGCATCCATCTCGCGCGGGGCCCTTCCCGACGCGTGTCTAGGCTTAGGCTGGTGAGCCACGCCTCATTACACCCCCCTTAGATTCGCGACTATCTCTTAGGCTCGAATCTCTTCAGCGAGGCGAAGCTTGCCTAAGCCGGGCGGCGGCGGGTTAACGGATGCTGACGTGGTTGTGGGAAGATGAGGCTGGGGAGGCAACCCTGGCGCGGGTCGCGTCGCGGTAGTCTCCGACGGGTAGTCTCCGCCCTTCGTGGTGCGTGAAGTCGTCGGAAAGTCTATTTCTCTCTTCGTAGGGGCCCTAGATGAATCACGAGTAGCTTCCTCCATGCGGATTTCGATAAGTAACATCTGCTGCGCTCCGTAGGGGATGAAACACTAACACCTGAATTTCCGAGCGTTCCCAGGCAGGTCAAGCCTTTAAAAGGTAATGCCCGTTGAATCTCCCCCCCTCTCGCTCTTCTTTCCTTTGTAGCTCGACAGACACACATCACACACACACACGCACATACATACATACATACACAAACAACATGGCCGACGTCGCCAACAACTCTCCTCTCCCCTCCGACACCACCACCGCGGGCAAGCGCCGGCCCACCCAACAACTCGCAAAAGGCGCAACCAAGCGGGCCCAGCCCGCCCGGGTAAGTAGGGGTCGGTGCTCGTCCTCGGTTGTGGCAACTCGTCTCATGTTCCCCGTCTTCCCTTGTTATCTACAGGACCCCTCGGTCCATGAAAAGTCCACCCCCGAGAGGTCGGCCGACTTGCCCTCTTGCTGGAAGTGCAACCAATTCCGCAAGAGCAAGATGTTCACATCGGAATGCCACCATTTGGTGCGCCGGCCCTGCATCGTGGCGGCGGCCGATGACACGGTATGTTCCCCCTTCGCTGAGAGGCGGCCTGATGTCTTCCTAACGGTGTGGTTCCTTTGTTCCTTTGCTTTCCAGAACAACAGCCCTCAGTGCCAGTTGACGTGCGGCGCCCCCCACTGCGGCCGGGTTCTCTTCTTTGCGGCCATCCCCGCCGGGTGCCAGTTCGCTGGCTGCAACCATGTCGGGGCGGACCTCCGCATGTTCCCATGCAACCATCTCCACTGCATGGGCCACGTCCGTGTGTAAGTAGTACTCTTTGGCCTGCTGCTGTCTTACCTGACTAACTCAGCTCTCTTCGCAGCAAGATGAACGTGGCAAATTACACCCCCCTCCGGTGCGGGTTGGGCGACCGGTGCCACGGCAACCGGTGCCAATTCTCCTTCACCAAGATTGGTTGATTAGTTCTCCCCCCCCCTCCTTCTTGTACATACTTTCACTTGTTGTCTGTTGCTCCTTCGGGGCCTGGCCTTTGGCCCGTATAATCAAATTCAGTACCACAATCTCATCGCTGTACTTGCCTTCTCATCGCTGTGCTCCCTTGAGCCTTATAGCATTTCGTATGCGTCCGCTGTGTCCAATGTCACTCGGCTTCCTCCCGGCTATGGTGCTCATGGTAGATGCCCTGCATCACACTTCCCCGTTGGGAAGACCGCCCAACGGTTCCCCGGCCATCGTCCAACGATGCCGGTATCTCACCTAGTGAGGTCTACTGCCTCGCAGTCTTCGGCTCATTGTCCAACGATTCCGGCATCTCGCCCAGCGAGATATGCTGCCCAGCAGCCTTTGGCCATCGTCCAACAATGCCGGCATCTCACCTCGTGAGGTCTACTGCCTCGCAGTCTTCGGCCATCGTCCAACGATGCCGGCATCTCACCTCGTGAGGTCTACTGCCTCCCAGTCTTCGGCTCATCGCCCAGCGATCCCGGCATCTCGCCCAGCGAGGTATGTCGCCCAGCGACCTTCGGCCCATCGTCAAACGATGCCGGTATCTTGGCCGAAGCCCTTCTCTTCCCCTTCGCGTGGGTATGTACTGCGGCCATGGTCCCCGCGGGTCTTGAGGTACGCTGCCATGCAAATCTGGTGCCGGTCAC